TATATTTTTAGTTTAAATTCAGTATCTATGTCAGAAGTGTTTCTCTGTGAAATATTAATATAAATATCTATGTAATAATAATGTGTGTATATATGTGCAATATTAATATATCTGTGTAATATCTGTACATACAGTATCTGTGTATTATTAGTATCATTCTGCTGTAGAACGTTAATGCACATAATGTAAAATGTTTGGACTAGTAATCTATTTATTTCTTTAAATCTTTATTAAAACCTTTAATTATTTTACTTTTTGAATAGAGACTTGCAGTTGTGTCTGAGGGGCCACATGTGGCTCTGGAGCCGTAGGTTGCAGACCCCTGATTCTATAAAAAAACGATCTGCTCTGTCCATTATGAACAAACAATACATTTAAATTTAAATGTGTTCAATATACAGTATATTTCTAATTGCAGACATATATTTAAAATCCCTGCAGTTGTCCTGCAGCACCTGAATGAAGCTGCATCATGTTGATTTATTCAAATGTCAGCTTTTCCATAAATATTTGATGATTGTTTCAGAGCTTTAATAAACTCATCAGAACTGATTTTAAATTAAACCCTGATTATTTTCATGAATAAAATTGCCTTATTTAATTGGAGCACGACATAATGCACAGATAATTATCAGATCATAATGAAATGTCTTCATTTGTTTAGTAAACAAAGTGTTTTCTCTGTGGTCTAAATATGATAATCAATGCCAGCGTGTTTAACAAGCCTCACTACCAGTCTCAGAGTTGACTTTAATGTTTTTAATTTCACCCTCCAGAGTTATGAATAAACAAAAACAACAGAAAGCACATTCCTGTCAGAGAGGCCTTTGCTGGTTCTGACATGTTTTCTTGTCAGGGACCCTCTCGTGCTTTTTCACACCAACCTGAGGCGGCGGAGAGGAACTCGCTGTTTATCCCTCGGCTGCTGATCAATCACTTAATCTCTTTAATAGGCCCCAATCAAAACTAATGGTGCATGTAATAAGTCTTTAACTAAACAAATGTGGACAGTGGTGGCGGTGGAAGAGGGGGAGTCAAAATGGTTTTCTCCTAACTGAGCATGACACTTCTAATGAATTTGGGGCTTACAAGCAAACTTTTGACAACTACTGTGCAACATTTGCCCCCAACTTCGCCTCTTCTCACTCTGACTGAATGGATTTGCTCTTGCCGAGAGKGATGTATTTATAAATACATTTATGCCAATATATTTGCATGTCATAAAGCGTAATAAAAGGGTTTGCAGAGCAGAGATAAAACTCATTTCTGCTACCCTAGATTGAGAAATTTGATGGATTTAATGCCATCGTGTGGTGAAAAAAAAAATTACTCAACGTCTATAAGCAGAAAATTAAAAAATAAAACTAAACATACAAATCTGCCTTAAATAAATCTAAATCTGTTTATGTTGTTGATGTATCAAAGTGGAACAACAGAGATACATTTGCAAACTTAACTAATACATCAACAACAATTGTACATGTGAGTGTGCAGATCATTGTTTAAATATTTTTATAGCAGTGAGTGATTATATCCATAAAAAATAATAAATATCTAATTTTTGACTTTAGTTTTAAGCTTTAATATGAGCTAATATGCTCTCAGGATTATTTTACCTTCAGGAAAACAACAAAATGGGTTGATTTATGATATAAATCAATTAAAGTTTGTTAATAAAATAACATTAGTTTCCCTAAAATATTAACAGMACAATACGAACTTTACTTAAAATTTACATAAANGTAGTGACAGTGAGTTAATCAAAAGACAACACTGCCACCTACCGACCATTTYAGGAAACAGGGAAATACTATGTTGTCACGTGACAACACGTACTTAAAATGTTTTAATTCAGCTACAATTTGATATCTGCAATTTTATAATTAGCCGTAAGTCATCGGTACTCAAACTTTACCTATTTATATGGCTTAAGTGAAAGTAAATCAATTTACGTTGAAACTGAACGTGAAAATTTCTTCCCCGCTTTTCGAGCGACTTTGGTTCAGTCCACCGTCTCAAACCGGAAGTAAATGGAAATGTTTACAATTTGAGTCAGCTGACTTCCTTTCACCTGACTACAATAGATGCAGTTATGAGAAAGTATCATGTGTGACAAACGAACGAGTTACGTTTAGGTACAGATTATGGGTACCTCTGTGTTTACGTTTTTCCTTTCCACTGTTAGCCTTCAGTTAGCCTAGCATTTACTTCWATATTTAGCAATCCGAGCTAACTAGCTAAACTAGATAATTCTAACAAAGAGAGGAATCCAAACATAGATTAATTTATCTCATTAGTATTTTACTCACTCGAACAACATTCATCAGAGTGGCTAAATATGGACAAAATTGCTAAAGGTAAGATAAATTAATTACAAAATATATTAGGTTTTCGAGTTTATCACACACCTGGCTTCAAGAGACTGCATGTAAAAAAAAAAAAAAAGATGTTTGCTGTGTAAACTGGGTTTAATCTGAGTCTTTGTTGCCTCTGTAGATGTGGGGGATATCCAGTCCCGACTGTTGGACCACAGGCCTGTCATCAGTGCAGAAGCTCGCTACTTTGTCAGAGAGTTTGAGGTATTTAAGCACCACATACCCTCATTTAGATGTACTCCTCCTAGTAGAGTCACAGAAGCACATGTTGGGACACTTTATCTGGTCTATTTTTACTCTCTGTGAGAGTAATAATGTTCTGCAAAAGAAAGCGTATCTTGGAAAAAAAATCTGAGCTCAGAATTATTATTTTTTTAGCCACATCAGTAGAAAACAGAACTGAATATTAGTTTCTTCATCATCAGTGACCTTTTATTTTGTCACATTACCCTCCAGCTTCCTGAGTACTTGTACAAAAGTACCAGAAATATAAAAGTTTTATCACAAAAAACTCAAGTTYAGATATTTCTCTGCAGTAGAAGAGCTATTTTACTTTTTGGGTGAAATTCTTGTTGATGCTGGGCCATTTCCTTTACAAACATGGCAGTAATAATCTTGTTTTTAAAATAATATTATCAGAAGGGTTTCAGATTGAGACATCCGAGTAAAATATCTACGAAAGTAGTAATTAAGTTTGTCCTGAAAAACAAATATAAATGAAAATAAAAATCGACTCACGTCTTACATTTTATTTACTTTATTTGTGACTTTTATAGACATGAGTTTAGATACTGGTGATCTGTGAAAACAGACAAGTAATAACAGTTGATTGATCAGACATGCTTTACTTTCCTATTGGTGTAATTCACCACATTTTGTTTTTCTCAACAAAATAAAAAAACCACCCTTTCTGTGCTCCTGTTTAGGAGAAACGAGGCTTTAGGGAGAACCGCCTGCTGGAGAACCTGAATAAAACAGTGAAGGAGACAAAYGAACAAATGTTACCAGCAGTGTCAGAAGAAAGCATCCAGCAGCTGTCTGGCATCATTAAGCGCTGTAAGTCACCTCACCTTTAACTTAAACCTTAAAAAAAAATAAAGTGGTAATAATCATCATGTTTGCWTTGTATGAACAGTGGAGGCTGCTAACCACATGGCAGAGCGAGTCCAGCAGAGGGAGCTAGAGACACAACAGGTAAAAAAATAATAGAAACACTTTATTTGTTTTAGTCGTTTACAAAACAGCACCTTACAATGCTTAATATTTTTCCAACTATYGCTCGTCACCCTCGTATCCTTCCAGGGCGCCCAGCTGCAGGCCAGCATGGAGACATTAAAGGAGGACTGGACAGAGTTCCTGAGGGAGCAGCAGAGGTTAAAGGAGGCGGTGGACGAGGAGCACGCTAAGGCTGTGGGAGAGCTCAGCACTCGCTTTAGTGAGAAGAAGAAGGACCTGGTTCAGCTGTCGCTCAGCTGAGAAGTTCACGGATAAATTCACTYGTGTTTATGTTTTCTCACCAGCATGTTGCAGTGAAATGCTGCTAAAACTACCAGGAGGTGGTGACAAAACGCCAACTGTTATGGTGCTTTCCCAGGCAGGTGTGCAACACTTGCTGCTCCAAAGACTTGATGTGATCCTGTTTCTGTTTTTGTTGCTTTTATTTGGAATAGATAATAAATCAGAACCTACTAATATTGACTAAATTTACGTCTCTCACTCCTTATTGATCCATCTGACCGGTAAAAATTGAAGAAACTCAGAACGACTGCAGGTTTTTATTCCAATCATCTGAACATGCTGATTTTATTTTTTAATTATGAAAGAAGTGATTGTCTTCATCTAAAAATGAGCTGATATTATTTCTTGTTTAAACGAATGTGTTAATCACATTAGGGTTGTCCTCTCTATATGTCTAGACTCTCTGTTCTGAATCAGATTATAAAGCCTTAGTTAAAGGGGCTATATCATGTAAAATCAACCTTTTTTGAGCTTTATATCATGTTATAATGCTCTGATCAAAAACATGCCCAGAGTCTTGCTTTGACTCATTCATGCATGTTTGACCAATCCTGTAGTTTCCTGAGGCAGCAGGCAGGGGAGCAAAAACGACTGGTTGGGACTAGAAACACCTTTTGGAATCAGCTCCTCCTCTGTGTCTCCAAGCTGAGCTGCTTCATCACAGAGCACACACACCCACCTGRCCCTGTGCTGAAATGGGCGTGACAGAAGCGGAAGGAGGTTCTTAAAGAGACAGAGGCCAGTTTCAAGGCGTTTAGAAACAAATACGATGAGAAGTCAAGTTTATTTTCTATTTAAATATATAAACAACATTTTAATAACTAAAAGTGACAGATACTTTATTATGGTATATAATTTAAATATATGCCTGAGAAACAAACATTTCCCCTTTAAGAGTTCATATTTTCAGCTATGTTAAAAGCTGTTTTTGTCCAATGATAATTTGGGTTAAAATCCTCGTCCCTGCTGTATAAGCTGGGAGCAGAAATGTTTCTGCAGTAAATTGTTTAGCAAATGCACCAGGAAAAGGAACTAATTTCATTGTCTGTGGTAAAAGAAGACGGTGATGCAACCTCCTGTTTGATGTGACTCAACTGTTCAAACTTGTCAGTACGTCGTTTAGAAACAAGCTCAGCTCGACCCTCAACTGCTGGTGGGAAAGAGACATGTAGGAAGACATCTAGAGGAAGAAGTTGGACAAGAAATGTGGCGGTGTGAATGAAGAGAGTAGACATGAGTATAAGGAGATGTAAGGTTAGGTTTTTTTTATAGAATCAAGGAGTTACATCTTCTGATGTGAAATGATTAAAATATACAAGTTCTATGTTAATTATTTTACACCTCTGGACTCTGCAGTCTGTTTTAAACACTTTCCAGATTCATGGCACATTGATGTCTGCGTACACCGTCTCCTGCTGTCCTCCGTCCTGCTGTCCTCTGTCCTGCTGTCCTCTGTCCTGCTGGGAGACGGAGGCAGCAGTAGGTGGATTCTTGAAGAAGCTCACATCTCCAGGGCAAGAGACAAACGAGACAACTTTGCTTTCACTCCACCTTCATCTTCCTCTTACCATCCTGAGTCTGATGGTGGAGGCAGCAGGTCCAGACCAGGACATAAACCCAGACATCCCTCTCTCCAGCTCTACCTGGGGGATCCCAAAGATGCTTCCAGGGCGGATACAGAATACTGGTTAAAGGGATCCCCGATTATTTAATAAACATTTATTTTAACTGTAAAATAAAGACTGTAAAAATACTGTAAGCTGCTTAGTTTTGTAA